GAGTACTGCTTGGGTCCCAGGGCCACCGCTCTTGTGACACCTCCTTGTTACGGAGTGAACTGTGTTTCCCAAAAATGCCCATGCAGGCCCTAGCCTATATAAGTATGGCCCTGCTTGCAAAGCGCTCTGCTCTCTGTTGTTATGTTAATGAGTGTGTGCTCCAGCAGGCGGGCCTCCAGTCACCTCTGAGTTATAGACAGAGCAGAGCAGGCCCCCGCACAGACGCAAAGAAGGCAGACAAGGGACATGTGAGAAAATCTCACTGCCATCAGCCCTACGTAGAGCTTTGAAGACTGTACCTTTTTTTCTCCAAACAGTTCCATCGGCACTTAATCCACGCATCACACAATTCAATAGTTCCATCATGACAAGGAGAGTTGTACAATCATTACCACAATCAATGTTAGAACATCTTCTCCCCCGCCCCCATGGTTAGGTCACTTTTGAATCGTGTAATCATCATCAGTTCTAGAGAGTGCTCCTCCCCGGTCTCACACACATTGCTTGCTCCTTCTACCCCTCATCTCCCATTTCCCACCCGCCACCCCTACCACCACGGCCTCCCCAGTGAACCCTGCATCAGTTCCCATCTCTGTGCCGCTACTCCTGTGCTTCAAACTGGGAAACCCAACAGAAACAGTAAAAAAAAAAGAAAAAAGTAAAGAAGTAAGGACAAAATAATAATACTAATACAGAGATAAAAATACAAGTAGTGGGGAAGAAAGAAAAGCCCACTGTGAATATTTAAGAGGTCAGAGAAGAAATTTTTGTCTCGGAACAAGTACGTAGCCCTCGCCCCTAGAAGAACCCCACATGGGGATCTGCCATTGGCTTAAGCAGGCTAGGTGCTCTGCAGATGGGTTTGGGGCTCCCTCTGTCCTCCACAGCCTTCTACAAATTGGGTGTTCACAATTTAGGCTCTGATACTTGTTCCTCTGTCATATTTGAATTTTGTGTTATCTTTGGATCACACAAGCTGGTGTGCTTCTTCCAAGTGGACTTAGCTGACTCCTCGCTTAGATGGCTGCTGGTGTGAATACAAGCCTTTTAAGACCCCCAAATACTATTCTCACTGATAGCCGGGCACCATCTGCTCTCTTCACCACCCTTTGCTGTAGCACCCTACCTTCAGTGATCATTCATGAAGGTGAGTGTGGAGCAGGGCCACGTGATCAGAACTAACGGTTCTTGGATTGGGGCTCGAGTTCAGTGGGGGCCATAACCTGTCTACTTGCCCCTGGGATAGGCATGACTCGGGTCTACTTTGGCGGTTGTATTATGACAAATTCAAAACCCCACAAGACCAGCTACACTCACAACAGCAACAAACCAACCAGCAGAAAACAAGAGACAAGCAAACAAGCAAAAACAAGGAAACTAAGGGCAAGGAAACAAAAACCCCATCGAAACAAAAGTAAGTCATTGCCAATCACCCCCCTGGGCTAGCAGGTGACTGCACTTACAACATCATCGATTTTCCCAGTGACACCTCAGTCGGGACACTGTAGGTGTGAGGAGTTTATCAAGAACAGCTCCACCGTGAGCCGCACCCCTGAGGTGTTGCTCCAAACAGTTGAAGCTCCCATTCGATGGAGCAGTTCTGTTTACCCTGAGCATGGGGGCTGGTGCCAGGGGGGCAACTATAATTCTAGGAGAACAGCAACCCCCCTGTGGAGCTGCTGGTGGGTTTGAACCGCTGACTCAGCTTTAGCAATCCAATGCCTAAGCCCACAGGGACACCAGACCCACCCACAAGCTACGGAACACCAAGGATTGCTGGGAGACACCACGAGAGACGCAGAGAGGAATCCACACAGACAGGACCCTGGGCTACCAGCCATTCAATGTCTGTTCATTACAGCAGCCCCCTGGCGGCATATTTGGTTCTGACGTTATTATATAACGAAGACACTCCCTCCACCCCTATCTCTTCATACTAGTCAGACTGATGTTCTAAAAACACTGACCTGACCTGTGTCACCGCAGCATGCGCCCCCCCACCCCCCACCCACATACCTACAGAGACCTTAAACCTGTGTACACAACCCTGCCTGGGCTGAAAGTCCCAAATCCAGAGCTAGGGCAGTGCCCGTGGTTTGGGGTGGCCTGCTAGCTTCAGGCTGGCCAGCCGAACCCACAAAGCAGCTACGCAGGGGCCAGCCCTGGCCCACCCGCGCCTGCCATGGAGAGGGTGGCTGAGACAGCCGTCGTCTGAAGGTGCTGCTATGAGCGGACACCGACGTGGCCACACCTCATGGAGCAAACACTCCCTGGGCTCATGGACATTTGAACAGCCCCACATCCTCACTAGGCTTATTCTCTCCCAGACACCCCTGAAGCTCCCTTAGCTCCTCCGCAGCCGTTTACTTCTCTGAGTTCCCGGGGACCTTCGGACACTCCGCCCGCCCCTCTGGCTGAGCCCTACTGGCCCATCAAGACTTGAAGGGCCGTCAGCTCCCGAGGCAGCTTTCCTTCGCCAGCTAAACCGTGCCTGGCCACCACGCAATGTGCTCCCACAGCAGCCGACGTCCACTTCCATAACGTCCATCATACTTTGGGTCGATTTCTGCCCCTCCTGTGACTCCACAGTGCCACCGGGGTGAGGGGGGGCGAGGCAAAGAGACGGAACTGAGCGCGGGGCTCTACTGAGACCGAGCAGCCCAGGTCTATCCATGACAAACACCGCTCCTCCCCTGGGATGCTCCCGAGCTACCAAGCCACCACGGTGCGGCCACGGGGGCAGAAAAGGCAGCCAACCATGTGAATACCGGGCCAGAGTTGTGTGGCCTGGCATTCTGGAACAACAGAGGCTCTGAGCACACGGATGTCAGCAAGAGGCAGCCCCGGGCACTAGGGGCTCTTTGGAGCTAAATGACCCCTTGGTTCTCTAGAAGGCAGTGTCCCCTGGGAAAGGAATCACAGACATGCCCCCCCAACCATGGCGGATCTGGGCTCCCCAGGCAGTCTCCTGATTAATACTCTGGTTGACTGAGGACATGCCCTCGAGGAGTCAGCCCCCTCAAGCAGAACACCAGCTCCACTTCTAAATGGGTAAGCCAATGTCGCATGTAATAGTGCACACATTTCCGGGGCTGCCCTTGCCCAGAGAGGGCAGAAGGCCAGTATACTCTGAGCACAGACTCATCAGGCTGCTCCACCAGCCACCCAGCTCCAGTTAGGCCCTCAGCTCCCCACGCCGGCTTTGGGGAAACCAGTGGCACTTGAGCCTCGGACTTGTGCTGGCTTCTCAAGAACTGCTCACGGAATCACTCGTCCAAAAATGGCACGAGCTGCGTTGAACAGAGCCCTCCCTGGGCCTGCAAGGATAAGCCCCCACCTTAAATAGGGGCTTGTACAAAAGGCAGCCACAAGCCCACCGTAAAGATGAGAAGCTCCGAACCGAGTCAATCCCGACTCCCAGGACCCGCGAGGATGGAGCAAAACCGCCCTGCGGGGTCTCCCGAGATGGTGACCCCTCATGCGAGTGGAAAGGCTCCCCTTTCTCCCGCGGGGTCTCCCGAGACGGTGACCCCTCGTGTGAGTGCAAAGTCTCCCCTTTCTCCCACAGGGTCTCCCGAGACGGTGACCCCTCGTGCGAGTGGAAGGTCTCCCCTTTCTCCCGCGGGGTCTCCCGAGACGGTGACCCCTCGTGCGAGTGCAAAGTCTCCCCTTTCT